AGATTAATTTGGTATAAATATCTCATTTTTGAATCTGAGGGTCGAAACCCACTTTTTCCTAGAACAGCCCCCATATATGGATTTACATTATGACATTAATTAGATTTGTTAATCAACTTATATCGAATACCCCAACGTATTATTTATTAAAATTTAAGAGGTTACAGAATCGAAATTGTCCATTATTTTTAATTTAAATTATTATCTAGTGTAATAAATTTTCCAATTTGCATTGGAGTGGAAAAATAAATAGTTACATGCAAAATTGAATAACAATGAATAGTTTGTGATAAGTTTTTTTTTTAAAAAAATGTTGCAAATTCTATTATTTTTTTATAAAGTTCATATATGCATTTTACATGGAATCCACAGCTGCCCAAGAGTAAACAATTTATTTTAATATAAGAAAAGAAAACCAAGTCCTAGGCTTGTACGATTTCATGTGACTTTGCATAATGAACAGGGCTGGCTGCATAAAGGGTTAAAATCTTTATTTGGTAATAATTGTCTTGACTAAACTTGACTAACATAATGACTAAATATGATTAGTCAATTTAACCAATGCCCATTTAGGTTAGACGGTGGGCCCTGATAATGAAAGTATATTTTTTAATATATACAAATTTTATAATATGCAACTCTTGTCACTTGATCATTTTTTTAAATTCATATATTAATATGTTGATCGCCCAATTTTTATTATATAGTGAGTTACTAGTGTTGATCAGCAGACAACAAATTAAACAGTCAGTATGGCCAGGCAGGTCTTTGTTATATTTTTTTTAAAAAAGAAAATAATTCATATAAAATAACTAATGAGGACTTAATTAATTCACAGAACATTTGGGCATATAAAATTCGGGCATTGGCTAATTAAAATTGAACTTTAATATATAAAATAAAAGGAAAACTATGTACAGGCAGAGTTGCCATTTCAAATATGAAACTTATGTTTTTTTAAACTTGGAATTTTATTATGTTTATCTATGAACTGTCTGCTTTACAATTATGGACCCCATGAATTAATTGTTCATTTACAATTTTCAGTCCTGACTAGTCCAATTTTGTGTAAGGATGAATGGCCCAGCCACAGTCTTTTAAACCAAATTGTTCATTTACAATTTTCAGTCCTGACTAGTCCAATTTTGTGTAAGGATGAATGGCCCAGCCACAGTCTTTTAAACCATGATTCTATATCATAAAACTGCTAAATAAAAAGGCCAAGTCAACATCTCAATAATGACCAATTTTAATGTTGACTTTGCATCAGCCTCCTTTACTAATAACAATTCATTTTATAGACATGATCTGATTTAAATATGGAAAAATACATTACGCTATTTTCATCTGATAATGGGGTTGGATTTTATACAAACATTTAACCAAATACTAAAAACGTGATTATCAAGAGAATGTTAATCTCATAATATTCATTATATCAAATTGATAATGCGCTTCACAATTATCAGTTTCAAGTTTTATAATTTATCATTGTCACTTAATTAATATGCAGTATATTTCTTTTTGCATATTGATAAGTTAACCAATAATAATAAAAAAAGAAATGTTTTTTCAGAAACATATTTTACAAAGCATGCATGATTTAATCCTACTAATGTCATCGAGATTGACTGTTGAAGAAGTTCTATTATTATCATTAACAGGAGATCAATTTGGATCTATTATGATTGGGACTTATATATAGTTGGACGAGATATTAATTCATTTTGATATGGAATTAAGAATGGACAATGCCTCGAACCAGTAAGTATGTCATGACCACAATATCTATCCATCTACTATAGCTGAGTTGTACATCACTTACAAAAACATTATATTGCCATTATATCTATATAAAGATTAGTGATCTGCATGCTCATTTAAGACTCTTCACTTTTCCTCTTTAACTACAATTTATTAAAATTATTGTTTATCTAAAAGAGACAAATAAAAATGAATTATCATAATGACAAATTCAAAGATTACAATTTCCAAGCTGGAAAAGAAGCAATAAAATATCCAATGACTGGAGCTCCAAAAACTTATCTCGCAGTTGGCGTTATTGGATTTGTACTTATTTTGAACCTTATCAGATGGTTTTATACTGGTATTTAAATTCTTTAGTTGTTGATTTTTAAATTTTGCTATAAAAATAAATTTTCTTTCTCTCCTGATCTTATGTTAGCTCAAAGTTATCAAAAGTGATGATTCTCAATGGTTGACTTATTTGTAAATTATATATAATTAAATTTCCTAGCCTTTTTTAATCAATTATTAATTTAATTAATTCATTTGTTAGGAGTGCATTTGGATTTGTTAATATCACTTATAGATACATGTTTCTATGCATGGATGCTATCTTTCTGATCTCAGCCATGTATAAACACAAAATTAAAATTAAATCCAATAATTTTTTGAATATGTTATTTATTATGACTATTTGTTTAACATTTTTACCAGAATTGATGTTATGTCATAGTCAAGAAGTATTGCCTCACAGGTGATTATCTCACTTCTTTATACTCTACATTCTGTCTTTATGAATAATAATAAAATCCTTTTTATTCAGTCTAAGAACTCAATTAGAACTTTATAAAAATATGGAGGGTGATTATAGATGGCTTACTGACATGAGGTGTGCCATGCATGGATATTCGTACCCTAGTGGTGGTATCACTCAGATTATTGAATCAGGTGTCAATGTAATTGATGACAATAAAGCAGATATTTATGGGTTTATTGAAAATATTTTTGGCCATCTTGAGGATCGTAAAGTCAGATCTCTACTTGAAGCAAAGCTCAAAGCAATATCATACACCGAGGGTGCAAAATGGACAAAGGATGAACTCAGTACAAGTTTTGAGGTGGACGGTTCTATCGCTGGAATTCATTATGCACTTTACTCTGATAAAATACAAAACCAGTCAAAACGTCAGTTTTTTATTGCAATAGTTCAAATTAGCATATCTGCTGGCCCTGGTCATTATTTTATTGCAGGGTATTTTAACGGACAAGAAGAATGCATCAAAAATGCGCTAAAATATTTACTTTACAAAGAGGCTAAAAATAAACTCCTTATACATTAAAAATTTTCCTTATTCTCTCACATAAATATTTACCTATATACAAATAAATTTTATTATTATTTTTGAAATATGTATTAAATAAAATTGATAGCAATTAAACTATTAACCATAAATGATAATATTACAATTGTGAATGTTGAGTAGTAATGACATTAGTTGTTGATACTAATTATAAAATAATACCCTAACTGTATATGTCTTCATATAGATGTTAGTTAAATAATGAATTAATGGGCAACATAGATAATCATGCTGAAATTAATTTTTCATTATATTCAGACTCTTTAATCTAAAAGTTGTTTTACAAGCATAATACATTGGCTAAAAATTTCACAAATAAATCACATATAAAAAGATTATATTTTTTTCCCCTAAAAATAGATTATTCTGAGAAAAGTCTCTCCATATCTATAATCAGTGTTGAAAGTTCAATCAGGGTTTAAAGATTGGAACCGCAATTAGCTGCAATTTAATTTTCATATGCCACAATTTTATATGCTGTAATTAATTGCAATTCAATTTTTATATGCCGTCCTGATTAAATTTTCAATGTTATATCACATGACTGGCCTGATTAACAAATCTCAATATTTATCATATTTCCCTTAGTCCTTTTGATCCTTTGGTTTTATCCAAAATTCCATTATGAATTGAATTATATAGAAATGTATTCGGGTGCTGCCAAAAGATATGTAATACAACATTGCAATTATTCCTTGAAAGGCTTTACAAGAAAATATACCTAGGGATTTGATTGAAACAAATAAGAAAGTATGCATTGAGAACAGTAAAGTATATGGAATGTTATATGAAATGTTAACAGTTCTCCATGCAAATATGCCTTGAAAAATACAAATCACATATATAAAAGAATATATAAAAAATGTTGTTGCATGATTTTTTATAACTGAAATTTTTGCTTTGATTATAACCAGTGCTGACTAAATTCGTAAACGATATTTCATTGATCAAGAGTGATTATTGTAGAAACGTGTATTTAATTTTTAAAGAGGAATAAAGAAGAAAGTTGCTATTAAACTTGGTAATTTTAGAGACTTGTTTACAGCCCAAAAACCAAATCACCAAAATGTATGTGATTTGACCCTCAGCTGATTTTTTTATTTTGGTCAATCTCATTTTCATGCTATGCGAGCAGTATATTTTTTCACCAAATATAATCCTTATATTGCAAGTAAAAAACTCAATTGGCCAGAGAGCCCTAGTTGTCAATTTTACTAATACAACTCCATACCATCATGGTGCAAAAAATATTGCACCAAGTGCAAAATTTTACCAATCTTATAATTAATAAATAAACAAATCATAACATGAATTTCCTGAAAAATACCTTATATTATTATGTTAATATGGCAGGCGCGAAACTCAAATTTGTATATGTTGATCATTGACAATTAGGAACTCTAATGCGGACGGACATTTTATCCCATTGTGACAGAATATGATAACCTTATATTATTATTATAAACCATGTGCATAAAGGTATGGAATAATGCATTTTTCCATATTAGTACTCTTTCAGTATTAAAAGCAAGGACAATCAACTAATGTAAAGCCTTTTTCTCTCGTCCGAATTATATAATTGGAATTAATCTCTTCAGGGCAATAAGCTTACAAAAGTGCTATATCTTTACTGCAGAGGTGCAGAGAATCTTGTTGTTGGTTAATTCTTTTGTCACGAGACTTGGTGAAATTGAACAAGTTCTTGAATGCTATATGCAATAATCATTTTAGTAGAATTTTAACTGAATTCGATTCAATTAACAAATCTATCACAACATTCCATAACCTATTCAATTAACATTATGCAATTATCCAAAGAATCGAACAAGATCACCAAAGTGAAACAAGCTTCTTCGAATTCATCTGCTATTTCTTTTGATTCTCCTAATTCCTGTGTTAGTATAAATAAAAAACTGTCTAGTTTAACTTTTTTGTCTATATGTGTTATTCCGTAGCTCTATGCATTCATAAAACTTGGAGAAAATATTAGATAGACAATAATAAAAAACTTTTATAATAGAAGTGGACCAGGTTGGTTCATGGATAGATAGTATGAAGTAGTAAGATGGAACTGCCATTTTATGGTTTAGGGACCAGCGTGATCCCTCTCTTTGAACACTTACTACTCCGAGAAGCATTCATATAAATAATAAAGATATAGTTATCACAATTTTTAAAATAATAATTTCACATATAAAAATTTTTCGCTAGATTAAATGTAATTATCAATATCCATATCAATGTCTGTCTCTTTGAGGTGCATTCTAACTTCCTTGATACTAGTCTTGTCCATATCTCCATCCTCTTTGGATATTATCGTATTTTTGATGTCTTTCATTTAATCCATAACCTTGATCTTCTGTAATTGTCTTTTACAAGTACATAAGATAACATTTACCTCCAGTGAATCCCTTGGCTGCTAATTGTGAAAATCAGAAGAAAGCCTGTGAATATATTGATTTTATTTTTCTCTATTATTTTTTTCTAAATGTTCAAATTTGATAGTCTCTTTGCATAATCAATCATAATCAGATAATCAGTATGTGATGTTAGATTTTTTTAGTAGATAAAAATTATTAGATTTCTGATTTATAATTCCTTGGTATGTCTACTTCCATGATTAAAAAATATTTTCCTTGTCTAAAAAAACTATACTGCCTATATTATTTTTAATGGTGAATATGTGGACTAGGGTTTCCAGTCCAAAATGTTTTCTCAAAGCCCAAACTAGTTTGGGCAATTTGGCTTCTCAGCATTTTTTATAAACATAAACATTAAAAAATTATACCAATCTAATTTTAATTTAAACAACTTTAAAGTAATTTCGCCCAATTTGGCTAATAGTTTGGGCTTATAAAAAAGTAATTTTTGCCCAAAGTGTTTCAGCAATTTTGGCTGGAAACCTTAATGTGGACAAGGATAAAATGTACATTCATTTTACATACTTTATGCACAATTAAAGGAGATACAACTTCTACACAAGAAGTCTGCAAGTGTGCAGAAAGATTCTTGGAAAAGGAGAAGAAGAAGGTTAGTTGGATATAGAGATGTAATTGAAATGGTGGCTTCTTATCAGGCTGTTGCACCTCTTGAAAGCTCCATTCTGACAAGAGTGGGATAGAAATATCTCTACAAGTGGCTATGCTTTTTCTTTGCCAGGCTCTTGTAACTCTTTTAAGCTGCATCCTGACTAGGGGGAGGCTACTGCAGTGCTCCCAATGATACAATGATGTTGGAATCCAGGGAGGAGTACAAGGCCCTGGGGTTTACCGAGACTGCATCAATCGTCAATGACACTTTCACTAATCTTCCCTCACAGCATCCAGACCAGATAAGGCTGCTGACACGCTAGCCGAAAGTTATCTGCAACTATCCTACCTCTAGGGTAAGGATGGCTCTGCAACTAAGTCGCAACTTTGGAGGAATATTAAGAGAATCTGCAACTCGTTTCAAGCTCAGGAGGTTGCAATTCGGAGCAGGGTTGATGACCTTCATCAGGAAAATGGGTACAAATATTATGCGTATATAATACGCAATTGCAGGGATTAAGCATATAATATATGTACAATTTGCATACATAAAAAAATACACAATTTGTGCGCATATTATATGCTTAATCCCTGCAATTGTGTATTATATACGCATAATATTTGTACCCATTTTCCTGATGGTAATTAATTGAGAACTACTTTGATAATTAATAGCAGATCTCCTGTGGCCTACATAGTAAATGAATTGTTTAGGAGTTATATGTGAAAAATCTGATAACCTTGGTCATTAAATGAACAAAATAAATTGTTTCATAAATGAAGCCAAATTCATGTTGAGATATAAGAAAGTATATCTGTATTTTCTACTGGATCACTTACAAAGCCATGCATTGTTGAAACTTTTTATATATGGCAATAATTTCAGCCAAATAAATTCTTCTATTGATTATAACAAAACAAAACCCTTCAGGAGTTGCTAATGAATATTTGGCAGTGCTAATTCCTGGTACTGTTAAAAAAATTTTTTTTAGAATTTTATTTTGCAAAAAACTTAAATTTGTAGTAAAACTTACATTTAATTGATGATTGAATATCTTAACAGTTGTTCATTAAAAATTGTATTTAATTTTTCAAACCTTTTTCTCATCTGCCAATTTGACCTTTGAATATTTGTTACATTAGTTGGTGTTGAAGGATTTGGTGTTGTGCTTGTTCTCCAACTAAGAAACCTCTTAGTGGCTGTTTCTTGAAGCAAGCTGTCTATTGTTTCCCCAAGTAGAATTTGCATGGGCTGCCCGACTACTTATTGTGTTTTTGAAATTGTGTTGAGTTGTCTGACCTTGTATATTACCATTATTTATAGATTTTCTATCCAAATTTGATGAAACAAATGCCTCATGTTTTCTACGCCTATCTATTAAATTTAAAAAAATAATGCCATTACTATCAACAATATGTTGTATAATAATATAATTGTCATGTTCATTAATTCTTGAATCTGATGATTCGTCTCCATTGAGGTATTTCTATAATTAGATTCATTGTCATCAGGAATATCATCCATCAAGTCAAAATTAACTGCCATTTCATTGACAACCTCCTCAAGAGAAATGTTTAGGCAATTAATTCTTGATTAACTTCAGGTAATATTTCATAACTATCATATCTATTGATTGGATTTTCTATTTTATATACCATTTCAATTAAATCAACATATTTAAAAAGAGTAACTGCTTCTTTGTAAGAATCACCAAAAGCAATTCTAATCATATCATCATCTGGCCAAATATGTAATAATTGACTATTGAATTTTATGGATCCTTCAACATAGTCGCACATATAACCTATCAAATAATATTTCTTTAATGTGATATTTATTAAATCAAATGGCTAAAAAATAATGTGAAATTACCTGTATGAACTGATATTTCATAAAAAACCATTAAGGTATGCTCGGGTTACATGCCCAATCTTTGGTACAAGATATAAAAGATCGGAATAACAAAGTCTTTCATTAATTTTCTAGCCATTCCAAAAAAATGTTAGCATGCAAGTAATAATATTAGTAAAAAAATATTTTTGTCGCGTCAATTGGAAAATTTATTTCACGATTCAAAAATGTGCGCACAACAAAATTTTATAATCTAACCATTTAAAGATCGGACTTAATCTAAAAATTTAAAATTACCCCCAAAAAAAAAATCAAAAAAAATATACCCTTTTTTTGAATACCAGTTTTTGAATCTCATTTACCCAGTTTAAATTTTATTATGTATTGTTCATGTAGCACGAAAATCCGAAATAATAAAGGATTTCCGAATCCCGTTATTTATATATAATATTTTGGTATCATACGATTTTTAAACAACTGTTATCATGGCCTGATCCAAAATTTAAATAGCCTGATTTTAGAAATGTTTTTATGATGAACATACCAACAAAAATTTTATATAAAACCATGATAACATGCTTAAAAATGTATGGAAGGATTAGATGTGAATACTAGTCAAAGAGAAACACGTTACCAATCATCCTTTTCATCATCTTTTCACACAAGACAAGCTTACACTACTTCTAAATCAACCTTTCCATTGGAAAGATTAACTCAAGGAGATCATTCGCCTGAGAATAGAAAAAATAGAACTAAATGTGAGTATTGTAAATATATGACACAAGAAGAAGAAGGAAAAGCTACAAATGCAGTCGGGGATATTTCCATATCGGGATTCGATTCCAGAACAGTCTGCTGATCAATTCATTATATGTTACAAACGAATTCACAAGATACTTCTTGTTATATCTATGTTACATTTTCTAAAAATAAATCGGTTTATTAATAACTGAAAGAAATACTATTAAACTTGCTCTTTCATAATCTTGTTGATTTGTTCAAAGTACGTTTTTACTAAAGTTAGAAATTTATGACTAGAATTTAACTTTTATTGGTTTTTAGACCATTATGCTTGTATTGTTTGCATGAAGATATTGCAAACAAATATCCAGAAAACCAGCTGACGCCATGTTGGTGCAAATCTTATTATTAAGTATATTCAGAATCACCATTGCTATATTTATTCATGTAAATTAATTTGTTAATAACACTATACTTTTATTTAGGCTTTATTATTTATTTATTTTAAGGATACCGACTGCAAACTTTGATGATGGTTGTAACCACCTTTACATCATATACAAATGATTGCAACACCTAGTTGTAACTGCCTTTGCAACAACTTTGTCGGATTGCAGCATGGAGCACTAAAGTAGTTCGGTATGGAAATGTAAGCATAAAACTCCAAATAAATTATTTTGTATTATTTACAATGGTGGCTATTGATTTCAATATAATTAATCATTATTTATTTTTATTATATGGATTTTGTATGTATCCTTTATTTGTTATTTAATAGAATTGGCAAGGAAATTTATATGGTATTATTTAAATTTTAAAATGAAGTAGGGTTTCTATTCGAATAAAAAAAATAATTCGAATAATAATAAGGAAATTAATTCGAATAAGAAAATTGATTCGAATAAGAAAATTGACGTAATAGTAATGAATAAAAAAATTAATTTGAATAATAATAAGGAAATTAATTCGAATAAGGAAATTAATATTAATATTAATATTAATTTGAATAAAGCAAATAATTCAAAAAAAT